CTCTCAGCCTTTCTTCATGGGAGAGGGGTTCCATCCCCCTGATCATTTTTGTGGCCCTCCTCTGGACCCGCTCCAACAGGTCCGTGTCTTTCCTGTGCTGAGGGCTCCAGAGCTGGACACAGTACTCCAGGTGGGGTCTCACCAGAGCAGAGGGGCAGAATCACCTCCCTCGACCTGCTGGCCACGCTTCTTTGGATGCAGCCCAGGATACGACTGGCCTTCTGGGCTGCGAGCACACATTGCCGGCTCATGTCCAGCTTTTCATCCACCAGTACCCCCAAGTCCTTCTCGGCAGGGCTGCTCTCATTCCCTTCATCCCCCAGCCTGTCCTGATACTGGGGGTTGCCCCGACCTTGCCCTTGGCCTTGTTAAACCTCATGAGGTTCACACAGGCCCGCTTCTCGAGCTTGTCCAGGTCCCTCTTAAGCTTCTGCTTTCTTGAAACTCCTTGTGTGTGTTATAGTTAATCTTCTGATGTCTCCAAATGACTGTTACAGCTGTTAACAGTGGGGTTTTTTTTACCTAGAAAGAGGTATACTGGTCATGGAAATGAGACTAGCTAGGGTATTTTATAGTCCATGTTCTATTGCTCTCTGTGTGCAAGTTGATGGATAATGGTGCAGCACAGTATCAAGTGGTGTTTATGGGACACTGATGCCAAACTCTTCCCAACCAAAGTAGGTTGCGGTTGATACAGGCAAGCACGTGTGCACTGTATGTGACTGCTATGGAGGGTAGTCTGGCCACTTTGAAATAAAACTGGGAAGAGGGGGAAAATTCTGTTTGTGTGCAGTGGAAAGTCTGTTTGTTATAATCCTGTGCTGCTTTAGCTAAAATAAGATTCAGGTGAAGCTATTCTGCTATTCTGAACACGAAACTGATGGTGATGCAAATGGGGTCTGTGTCCATAAAGGAACCATAAGAAGCCCACATAAATAATTTTCTGAACTTCTTAAAGCGGAAGGCAAATAATTTAACATGAAGGAGTGGTAATTAGATAAATATGTAGACTCAATAATACAGAAGTTAAAATTAGGAAAACAGTAGTTGGGGGAGGGAAAAGCTCAAAAATAAATAAATAAAGCCAGGAGCTGAAGTGCCTTGAAATTTTAGAATTGAAGTTGACATTTCTGAGCCTTAAATTGGTTTATTTTTTTTAAACTGATCAGTACAGTTATAATTGAATGTAAATTGCTTTGAATTACAACAGGTTTGTTGTAATTTAAATATGTGGCTAGGAGAATGCATGGGCTCAGAGATCAGCTTTTGGAGATCTGGAGGTGGTTTTAGCTTTCCTGTATTGGAAGAATAT